TTATACTATTCCTTGGCATAACCCAAAGAACTCATCCTATTGCAGACTCTTGTACATCCATGTTTGTTGCTGCCCTTTTCAAAATAGCTAAGAGATGGAAACAACCTAAGTCTCCCTCTACTGACGAGTAGATAATGAAAATGTCATTCATTTATACAATGGAGTTTTACTAAGCAGTAAAGATGAAATCATGAAATATGCAGGTAAATGGATGGAACTAGAAACATAGTAAGTGAAGTAACACAGACTCAGATAACACAGACTCATATGTGGATCCTAGCACCAAATTCTGATAAGTGGTTTTGTATCCAGACATAACTACAGGAACCAGGATAATGAAAAGGAACCACTGAGGTAAAGGAAAAGAAAGAATCTGAAAGAGAACAGTAGGAAACAGGTGTTAATAAGGGAGATATGGATAAAAATGGAGGGTTTTTTTTTTTTGGTCTTTTTGAGACAGGGTCTCTCTGTAGCCCCAGCTGTCCTGAAACTCATTATGTAGACCAGGCTGGCCTTGAACTCACAGAGCTCTACCTGCCTCTGCCTCCCAAGTGTTGGAATTAAAGGCATGTGCCACCATGCCTGGCTCAAAAAAATGGGTTATTTTAAGGGAAGGGGGAAGGGAAAGTTATACAAGGAACCCAGGAATTAAGGAGCTCAAGGAGAAGGGTACTATCAAGGGAGAAATGGAAAAAATGGGGGCACCTTAAATGGGGATACCATGGTGGAAGGGTTAGACAATGTGAGAGATAAATAATGCCTAGGTAGTTTTAAAAACCAGAGGGAACCATATTAGTACAACAACCTACTGACAGATTATATGTACAACTAGATCGAAGAATGTAATATATGTCTAGGCATGGTTTATCTGAGAGTGTTTGGTCTTTGCCCAAGCTTTATCTACATGGCACATGGTAATTAAAAGTACCAGACTTGTGGAACTAACCTTCTTGGATGTTTAACAACCATACTACAAGGCCTATACTAATTTGGTCAGAGGGACATAAAGGACAGTCTTTGCTCCTTTCCCTCCTAGATCGACTAAGTTCCAGGGGACTATGAGCATCTCTCACAATGTCCTGTAACTGTGGTGAGTCACCTTTCCTCTTGATCAAGGAGGCCATGGAGACCCCACCAGATGGGCTTGAACAAGTGTCCAGTCTACAAAGAGGAGGATTAACACAGAGGAAGTATTTCCTCCATGCTTCCAAGTGAAGCCAGCCATGGTCTCAAATTCCCCTGGAACTGGAGTTACGGAAGGTTGTTAGCTACCATGTGGATACTGGGAATCAAACTTCTGCAAGAGCAACCAGTGCTCTTAACCACTGAGCCTCTCTCCAGCCCCTCAGGCAGAACTACTGATTTTTCTCCTATGTTTGATAAAATGTTAAGAATGGCAGTGCAGGATTCGAAAAAAGAAATAATAATGTCTTGCATTTTTAGTGTTCAGCTTAAGGACATGAAAGGCAAAAATGCAAAAACTGAAAGCCCAATACTGTTAAAGTGAGACAAATAAAATGTTAAGTATTCTTCCTAAAACAAGGATCTCTACATAGGCTGACTAGATTCAGCAGATGGACAATCACTGGAGAATGGCTGGGGGTGTTGACAACACAGTGGACAATAACAAGGCTGACAGAGTATATGGTCTCCAGTGTGTGTGTGGGGGGGTGCCTATGGGAGGGTGCCATTTGGGAAGTGGGTATATAGATGAATAAGATTGTTTGGGATGTTCTGTATGATATACACACAAAGAAACAACAGATTTAAAAACATATTTGAGGAAGAAGCATAAAAATTTACTTCATGTTAATTAGTAGAGGTGATAAACATTACCATTGAAATCTACTTGATGACTTTATATCCATATTCAGGTGCCAAGGATCTGATCATAACTGACTGTGACTAGTAATAACCAGTTACATAGAGATTAAAGACACATGTGCAAACATTTAAGCATTAGTAGCATTAAAAATGTAGGAAATTGCATATTTTAAAATGAAATGGAGATCTTTAAAGGTTAAAAACTCATTCAATTTTATGTCTTACAGGGTTTATACTGAGTTCAATATTGTATAACTGTATTAATTCAACTGTGAACCTAAACATTTACAGCCACTTTTGAAAAAGATGTATCCTTGCTCTGGAAATTGTTACTGAATGTTAAAGCTGTAATGGAAGGCCTGTTCTAATCATGTGGTTATTAAATTTTAAAAAAGTTTTCAAAGGTGAAACAAGTTAGTTTTCCATGTTCATGTTTTCACTGAAGTGTTCTTTTATAAAGAGGGGTCTACATACATGTTTTAGATGTTTGTTTTAGAAGAATGGTGGTGAGAAGGCTAAAAAGGTTATTCAGTTTATGTGTGCTATCATGGCGCTGTATTGATATTAGATCTCTGACCTAGGGTTCTCCTGCCATTTGGAAGAACACATCAAAGCCATGGTTCTAGAGCTATTTGCTTGTTTAAAATGTTGCCAGCCAGGAAGAGTGTTTGTGCATTCTCTTCATTTGAACTTCCAAATTCATAAATTTGATCTGAACAAAAAAGAGGAGGAGGAGAAAGAAGAAAAGAAGAAGAAGAAGGAGGAGGAGGAGGAGGAGGAGGAGGAGGAGGAGGACATGCATGCATCCATTGCTCTCTGCTCTTGAATTTGGATGTGACATGACCAGCTGTTTCAAGTTCCCACTGCCCTGACTTCCACACAGTAAGACTGTAACTTGGAATTATGAGCTAAAGTAAACCTGTGTAGCTATTTCCTCTGAGATAAGACATTCCATCTTGAAGGGAACCTAGTTAAGATACAGGATACAGTCTGGAGGCAAAGGCAGGCAGAGTTCTGTGAGATTGAGTCCAGCCTGGTCTACACAGTGAGTTCCAGGCAAGCTAGGACTACAAAGAGACCCTTTCTCAAAGAAACAAAACGATACAGGATGTATTGTGAAACATTCCATCCTTCGGGGACGTTCCTTAAGTGCAGCACGTCCCTAAAACTGAAAAAATCAACTAGGCCCCTCCCTCTCTGTAAGCATATATAAGCCCTCAGTGCTTCTCAGACCAGCCAAGCTGCCTGGAAGAAGCAGAGACCAATTGAGCTGGAAAAGACACTTGACATGTTGAACTCCAGGTTTCCTGCTTTCATGAGCTGGGGTGGGCTTTTGGTGATATATCTGTGAGTCATTTCTGCTCCTGTAAATAACCCCTCACCCATACTCTTGTAAGTAATCCCAATAAAACTATTGGTTTACCAAATTGGGTTTTGGTAGTGTCTTTACTTTGGTTTGTTGTTGGTTCCCTATCTGGGGTGAACAGAAATTTGTTCACATTTCCCTAGGAACAGTGTCTCACAGCAACATCCTTTCTCCCTTAAGATGCTTTTTGTCAGCTTCATTTATCACAGCAACATAAAGGAAAACAGAACACACACAAACGCAACAACATCTTTATTGGGGGTTAGGGACAGAGTCCAGAAAGAGACATCTGCAGTACGTATGAGGACCTGATTTAACTGTCAGCACAGACACACAAATCAAAACATCAACTCATGAAGGTTATCCACTAAAAACATGCACTAAAACATCTTTACTAAATGTATGAGGAATACCTGATGTCAGTGCCACTTTACAACCTACAAGAGACTCTAAACGATTTGGTAAGACCCTAAAAACCAAAAACATACATATTTCATATTTTGGGGTTTGGAGAGATGGCTCATTGGTTAAGAGCACTCCCTGCTTTCTTCTAGAGAACCAAAGTTCAGTTCCCAGCATCCACATCCAAAGGCTCATAACTGCCTGTAACTCTAACCAGGAATTAGATGCCCTCTTCTGGCTTCTGTGGCACCCACACAAGTGGCATAACACACAGACACACAAATAAAATAAATCTTTATTTAAAAATACGTATTTGGAAGAAAATGTCTAAAGTGATGGCCAGATGGCTCAGCAGGTAAAAAGGCTTGCTACCAAAACTGATAACCTTAGTTCAATCCCTGGAGCCCACATGGTAAAAAGGGAAAACCAATTACATATTGCACCCTCCTCACCACATAAAATAAACGTAAAAAAAAATTTAAGTGTCATGTTCTGGTGTTAGTGGTTAAGGGTCAGAAGTATGGAAGGAACACTTTACTGTTGGAATGTGTCAAAACAAGCTCATTCAGCAAATAATAGGAGTACCAGCTTGAAAAGGCCATTGTCAGACATGGACACTTGTCTTAGTCATCTCTGTCCTGACCCCCCCAATTCCCCCCCCCCGCCCCACGCGCGCTTTTGTCTTTTTGAGATAGGGTCTCCCTGTACCGCTAGCTGGCCTGGAATTCGCTGGCCTTGATCTCACAGAGCTCTGCCTCCGGAATGCCTTTTAAATTTATTTTTTAAATTATATTTTATGGTATATGAATGTTTTGTCTGCATTTAAGTAAGTGCACCGTGTACGTGCGGTACCCACAGGGGCCAGAAGAGGGCGTTGGATCCCCTGGAACTGGAGTTAAAGACGGTTGTTAGTTGCCATGTGCGTGCTAGGAAGGGAACGGGGTCCTTTTAAAGAGCAGCCATTGCTCTTAAACGCTGAGCCAGCTCTCCAGCCCTCTCTAATCTCCTTTTCCTCAACCTTCCGACCTGCCATCCCTACCTGACAGCACTCTGGAGCCTCTCCGCAGGAATAAAAAGTAACGCTTAGAGGTCGACCGAGTCAAGGGCTGCGCCCCACCCCGCCCAGCTGGAGAAAGGCTGTGTCCACAGCCTGCGTGTTTTGCCAGTCTCTGACAGCGTCCTGTCCCGGCGTCTTATAGTTGCGGACTGTGGGGTCAGCCCGAATTGTAGGAAATTCCGCCTAACGGCCACGACCTGAGGCAGCTCGAGCTGCTCACGAGGAAAGGTACACGTACACCACTCCAGCGACCGCTGACCCACCTCGGCTGGCGAGCCAGACTCTGTACGCTAAGCGAGGTCGCAGGGTGTCGTAAAATTGTAGTAATAGTGTCGTAAAGTGCCATGCGACTGTTGTAATGATGGGGGCTTCCCTGTGTCAGCTAGTGGTTTGTCCTCTTTAGAAGCCTCTGAACCAACCTGTATGATTTTTTTTTCAGCCACAAGTAAAAGATATTTCTGCCATTGGAGACACGTTGACGGGCGTCCCCGAGTGTCCTCCCGCCTCATGGACATGGCGACTGACGCGCGTCCAGGTGAGCCTTGGGAGAGGTTAGGCGCAGGAGTTCGGCGGGGGTTTGTGAGCCAGAGGCGGCCCAGCCCTGGCTTCCAACCGTGTTGATTTCAAAAAAAAATTATATATACATATATGTATATATAAAATTAAGTATATACGTACCTTTATATTTACCATGTGCACGTATATGTACTTATATACATATTTATATGTACATATATGTATTTTCTTGGTTCAAGGTTTTTTTTTTGTTTGTTTTTTTTTTTTTTTTTTTTAGACAGGGCCTTTCTTTTGCCCCAGATGGCCTGGAACTCGCTATGTAGACCAGGCTGACCTCGAACTCACAGAGATCCGCATGTCTCTGCCTCTGAAGTGCTGGGATTAAAGGCGTGCACCACCACACCCAGCAAAAGTTCTTTTTATAACCTTTTTAAACATTTTTATTTATTATTTTTATGTGTATGACTGTATCGCTTGCATGCGTGTAAGTGCACCCATGTCATTCAATGTCCTCGGAGACCAGAAGAGGGCATTGGATTCCCCTGGAACTGGTTGATGGTGGTTAGCCCATGTGGGTGCTGTGAGCTGAATCCAGGTCCTCTGTAAGAGCAGCCGGTTTTCTTAACTGCTATACCAGCTCTCCATCCCTGAAAGTTTTTTTTTTTTTTAATCTATTTAAATTTTTTTTTTTATTATTTTTATGTGTATGTCTGTAAGTGCACCCATGTCATTCAATGTCCTCGGAGACCAGAAGAGGGCATTGGATTCCCCTGGAACTGGTTGATGGTGGTTAGCCCATGTGGGTGCTGTGAGCTGAATCCAGGTCCTCTGTAAGAGCAGCCGGTTTTCTTAACTGCTATACCAGCTCTCCATCCCTGAAAGTTTTTTTTTTTTTTAATCTATTTAAATTTTTTTTTTTATTATTTTTATGTGTATGTCTGTATTGCCTGCATGTAGGTAAGTGCACCCGTGTTGTGCAATGCTGAAGA